ACATCTTGCTAAGATAGGTCTGTAGGCTTTTCATGGAGCCCGTCCACTTGCTGCGCTTGATCTTGTCAAGATGAATTCTTGCCCTTGCTGCAGCATGTGGATCTAGGTATTGTGAAATGAGGAGTTCCTCGAGGGAGGCAACCGGGGTGGCCTTAAGCCATCTTGTCAGTTGAATTTTAAAGATCCCAGCTCGCGTAGCTTGGACCTCTAAGAAGCCCTGCGCGACCGGTTCGACATTCATTCCCATGATCACAGACTGGTTCTCAGGTTGAGTCCCCAGAATTCCGAAATATGCCCTCATGGAGCTGATCCAGGATTCAACGTCTTCTTTGTCGTCGACCTTAAAACGACATTTGAACCGCCTTACGATCCACATAGGGACCGGCGTAGCTGGGACCAGCTCCTGCTGGTTCCAATCTTGGGGCTGCACCAGTTGCAGAATTTTCAGCCTCGCTGCATGTCACAGCAACAGCGGAATTTGCACCTGTTGCAGGTCCCGAGGGGGTTGCCAACACATTCAAGGAAGAAGATACAATAATAAGAGAGGCAGAGTTAGTTTCAATTGCAGCTTCAAATCCAGGGGGTAGAGGAAGAGGGTTGGCCACTTGGGCTTATCACAACTCAACCACCTCCCTTGTCAATTCATGGTACTTGCGTGTCATATCAGTCAGATCATCTTGAAGTGTTTGCAACTTTGTGAAGACTTCAGCGATCTGCGTGGTATGATCCTCAAGATTCCTAACTTGCACAAGGGTTGTGAGTATAGACTGCAACTGTTGCCCACACCGCTCTTCAGTCAGTGAGGGAACAGTCTCTAGGATGGCCACTTGCCTTTTCAGCAATGTCTCCTTCCTCTCCTTCTCTGCCTCCTGTTCCCTTTTGATTGCACTATCTAAGAGTGCTTGTAGATACGGTTTTTCGGCATCATTGGCTGCATCTAACAAGGTCCGCCATTGCACCGAAGTTTTGATAGCACTATCTAAGAGTGCTTGTAGATACGGTTTTTCGGCATCATTGGCTGCATCTAACAAGGCCCGCCATTGCACCGAAGTTAGCTGAGCCATTTTTGGACTGTCGGTATTGACAGGTGGGTCAGAGAGTCGCCAGTGAGCAAATGAATTAATTAGACTCTCAAGAGGTTCGATCCTCCTCTCACTTGGACGAACACTCCTTTTCCCAGTCCTTGCCCACTTCAGACGGTCACTTTCCCTCTCTCCCTTTTCTCTCTCCTTCCTCTCTCTCTCTTCTTTTTGGTTGCGAGTCTCCATGGGCATCGGAAATGAACTCAGAGAAACAGACTGGAAGCTCAGAGAAGAGAAGGTAGAACTCCTAGCCGGAGCGGCATTTCATTTGGAAGAAAACAAACAACTTCAAACGAGAGGTCCGATCCAGCGACATAGTCTGATCATACTGCATACGAGGTCCTCTCGAATCCAGTCTGACCAGCTCCGTGACCGTACAACAAACCAGACAACGAGTGACTAAATGCAACAATGGAGAGTCGAGTGGTGTACAGGGTGCGAGTCAAGCCACAGACAGTGCAATCTGAAAAGACATGCCAAGATCCCCTCGGCAGTGGGTGTCCTAATCCAAGAAGAATGAACTCCGTATCCCAGCCAAGAAGACAAGAGGTCAATGCCAAACCGATTTGGGTCTAGAGGCTCTTCTTGTTTGGTTCCGGTCCCGCTAGGTCCCAGGGGTCCCACGCAGGTCTCAACCAGGTCCCCACCAAGAGGAGTTCGACATGGACTTAGTTCAATCTCTACTGCACTGAAAAACGAAATTTCAACTTCTCGCAGAACCTACAGACTACAACCGTTCAGAGATGAAAAGACAAAGCATTGTAGAACGACTCGGCATTTAGGTTAAGATACTTCATCTTCCATCCATCAGGTGAGTAGGTAGATCACATGCATTCAGTCACACAATCAAGACCACAGAGGAGTAGGAAAAGAAACCCAGAGTACCCAGCAGGACAATCAATACCATACACACATACATGGGCATCCCGTAGGTGCACGACACTTACCTGAGTGGCCTTGAGCTTCGAGATGAACAGAACTCACCCCCCCTCTCATGTGGTCCTCCTGACCCCTCTAACGCTACCCCTACACTAGTGTCCTATCTCCTAGGAGGGTCTGACTCCAACACCAAAGTGCAATGCCGGATCCCCCGTCAATGCTGACGAACAAAGTAGCAACTTGCAGTTCGTAGATGCTGAGTGGCCGCTGACCCTCAAGCTCGCCTATTTGAGGGCAGCCCTTACGTTGCCAAGTGTCTCCCTTGAATCAGATTCCAGGTGCGAGTGCCTCTCACTGTCACCTCTCTCAAATCGCCGCATGAAGTCTCCTCGAAATGTCTCGCCACCCTAATCTCACTCTCAAGCAACCTAGGCACATTCTGGAAGGGGCCTGGGCGCAGATACTTGGACAGACGCCAAGCATCCAAAAGCTGCCTCACCTAGCTAGTATCGACACAAAAGGAAGTGACGGCAGTCACTTCCTCATTCATGCTGGCTGGCTGGACGGCGGCAGCTCTGCTGGAATGCAAGCTCACCAAGCTCTCGTCAGGCAACGAGGAAGAGCGCTGGCGGAGCCCTATAACCAGGCTGCCAGAGCCATAGCCAAGGGGTGAGCCATTGGCCCTTGGATGATGGGCAACGAGTGTGGGGTATACATGGGATAAACAGGCAATGATTGGGGAGAAGAGCGCCTACCTGGTGGACGACAAAGGAGGACGCCATAGGCTGCTGATTCTTCATGAAGACCTGTTGTCATCATAGGGAGTTTTAGGTCGTAGGTGTTGTCTCTGTAGTCTGGGCGCCGAGCACCATATAGGGGGGTGACTCTGGAGACATTGATGGTGGAAGCGAGGAGAGGGCTTTCATTGCCAATTTGCTTTGATTTGGTGTTTCTTGTGTTGCATTCTGCCTTCAGTACGAGCACATAACTATTTGGAATTCAATGGGAAGATGCAATTTGGTTTTTGTCATTTGCTTCGCTCCTTTTCCTTAAAAATATTGTACACTATACGAACTAGCTGACCTATCACTGCTTCTCCCGCAAGAATAAAGGAGGGAATGTCTTTGTCATTGCTTATGTGGCAGTTGAACCTGCTTTTCTTTTTCCGGTCTGGTAGTTGCTTACCTGTTGTTTGTTGTTTCTGTGGGAAGTCGTGACCGTCTCAACGACCCATTCTTTTTGCACATTGGACTATGTCTGGTTTCCACCCTTCTGTTCATGATGTACACTGCCTTACATACTTCCAAAGACGGCAGAGAGAACCATCACCAAGAGAGGAGAAAATATGTTTATCGTCCGCATTCTCCTCCATTCGCCCACCCTCTCCCTTCTCTTGCGCCCTGCTTTTTGTGGGCTTTCGCAATCTATTCAATTAGTGGCGCAAATTGTCACTCATTCACACTTCTCCTCCCTCATTGATCTCAACCTCAGCTTCGGTGCTCTCATTCATCATTTTCAGTCCTCATCCTCCCCACACTATCAATTTGGAAGGGGTACACGACATCCTCCCCCTCCTCTCCCCCCCTGCTCTTCGTGAGGTTCCACATCCTTGTGTCTCACCATAGCTTTGATGACCTTCACCCCTCATTTTTTTGCCCTGCAGGCTTTGATCACTTCCATCATCTATTCTTTGGCCCCTCACCCTCCTCTCAACCTACTGACCCTCCTCTTCTGCTCTCCTCTTCATAAGCTTCCACATGCCGTTTGATATCTGGCTTCCACAATGTATTTCTATCCTTCATCCAATCTGTGAGCGAGAAAAGAAAACAACCGAGTGCAACTTGCTACCATAGATTCTTCTCATCATCTTCCACCCTGCGCCCCCCACCCTTGTGATTTTAAGTTGCCTGAGACCAGAAGAAAAAGAAAATATGGCTGAGCGGCAATCCCGACCGGTATACCGGCCGGCCGGTTGGCCCTCGACAAGTTGGAGGACGCCGACCGTCAGCGTGACGACACTTAACACCATCTATCATTCAGGTACCATACAGTCATGATGAGGGTGCACTGTGCCGGGGGAAGGCCTTCCGCAGGGTTCCTTTCTTTTCATTTTCCAGCATGTCAATTACTAATCGACGTGAGGTCCCCTTCTCTTAACGCAAAACTGGACCCTGTACCAAGCCTGTCGGCAACCTCCACGCATTGGGAGGCAGAAAAAGAATAGCTGGGTGGATTTGATGGCGCCGTCTGAAAAGGAACTGGCCCTCCAGTACTTTTGCAAAGGGCCTACCACCCCTCCAAATTTCCTTCCTGGTGGTGAGGTTCCATTTATCAACTTGGTATGAAACAAACAAAGACTTGTGATCGGCACTAAATCACAGTGGTCACACTGCCTGAGCTCAGGACAGCCACAATTGAAAGTTTATGTCGTTAGTAAATTTTCTACTGTTGGTGATTGTTCAGCACATCTGCCAGCCCCGTAACATTGCCAAGGGACACCTACACCGCCATCTAGATCTGAACAAACAAGTAGGTAGTATATAAAACCACAGTTCCATAAAACGTGCTACGGGCACCACAAGCTTCGTGGAAAGAAAACCATTGACACTTCTGCCTGGACAATATTCTCCAGGTTTCTACTGTGCATACCAGCCCACTGGGAAATTCAGGGAGGAACCCAACCGACCGGCAAGAGTCATTGCCTTCTTTCATTGAACGGACTTAGGTTCGGCACGCATGGGGAGTGCACTTGAGAAAGGCATCTGCAAGTGTATCTGTGAGCTCACCGGGAGATAATACTATGACATGTTCAGGACAGTTGCGCGTTGTGGTCCTTGTAAAGTGAATGCGCAACAATAGTACCGTCTCGCGAAGGCAGTTGGTGATCGAGAATGTTCAGGAGGTGGGGTAGGTGGTGAGAAGGGAGATGGAACCTTCAACTTCTTCAGCTTGCTTCTCTGTTACATCGTCTAGATTCAAGAATCCAACCATTTACGTATGGGCATGTACGATGATGAGCTGTGCGAAAAAATGATATACCGTCAACAGCTGATTGAGTGTCTGCTCTCGCTCATCATTTCCCACACTCCTTAAGCGTCCATCCCGTCCCTTGGCAACCGCATCAATCTGCAGGCAAACAACAGCATAAACGTGCCCAGGGCACCCGAGAAACCGAAAACCACTCAGCAAGTGGAAACAAGCAAAATAATTTGACTTAACATGTTGGTATTGCAAGGAAAATAAGCAACAGCGAGATGACAACTCCTGAATACACCATCACATTAAAAGCCAGATAGTCACACTGTGTCCAGAGAGCAGCATCGCACCAATAATACACCAATGGAGGTTCGTAGTACTGAAAACCAATGTCATGGAGAGCTTTCTCTCTCCTTCAGCAACACAAGAGTCCAGTCCCTTCACACTCCTATTTGGCGCTCAGCGCCCAGCCTACTCCTACACAGCTACGATCAGCCTAATAATAGACAATGC